TCTGACCTCCCTGTTTTGCGTCTGCACTCGGACAGAGGCGGAGAGTTCTCCTCTGGCCTTCTGAGTGCCTACTGTCGTGCGCGAGGCATCCGTCAGTCCTTCACGCTTCCGGACTCACCGCAGCAAAATGGGATTGCTGAGCGCCGCATTGGCATGGTCATGGACGTCGCTCGTACGTCCATGATGCATGCGGCAGCTCCCTTTTTTCTGTGGTCGTTTGCGGTCACGTACGCTGCGCACCAGATCAACCTCCACCCCAGGGTCTCTAGACCGGAGACCTCCCCAGCCCTGCTGTGGACGGGGAAGGTTGGCGATGCGTCGGCGTTCCGGGTCTGGGGATCTCGGGCGTTTGTTCGCGACCTGTCTGCGGACAAACTGTCCCCTCGTGCTTCTCCCTGCGTCTTCCTGGGGTTCCCCCTCGACGCCCCTGGGTGGCAGTTCTACCACCCCACCTCTCGACGTGTTCTGTCCTCCCAGGATGTCACGTTCGACGAGTCGGTACCCTACTACCGCCTCTTCCCCTACCGCACTCCGTCCCTCCCCCCGCCCCCACTCTTCTTGGTACCAGGTCCCCCCCCCGGTAGACCCCCTCCCCCCTCAGGGTCCTGCCCCTTCAGGTGTGTCCCAGGTAGACGCGGTCGAGCCTGTCGAGGTCACTGGTGACTCTGGTGCTGCTGCGGGTGCTGAGCCTGGGGGTGCGGTGTCTGGGGGTGCTGAGCCTGGGGGTGCTGGGTCTGGGGGTGCTGAGCCTGGGGGTGCTGGACCTGGGGGTGCTGAGCCTGGGGGTGCTGAGCCTGGGGGTGCATTGTCTGGAGGTGCAGTGTCTGGAGGTACTGCTAGCCCCTGAGGGAGACCCGGATGCACTAGACATCCCGACTCCGCGCTCTTACGCGGAGGCGATAGAGGGTCCCTACTCCTCTCAGTGGCAGGCAGCTATGGATGCAGAGATGGCTTCCTGGAAGTCCACAGGCACCTACGTTGACGCTGTTCCCCCTCCTGGGGCGAACATTGTCAGTGGCATGTGGATCTTCAAGGTGAAGCGGCCACCGGGTTCTCCGCCTGTCTTCAAGGCACGTTACGTGGCTCGTGGCTTCAGACAGCGGCAGGGGGTTGACTACTTTCAGACCTTCTCCCCCACCCCGAAGATGACCACTCTTCGGGTACTACTGCACGTTGCTGCTCACCGTGACTACGAGCTGCACTCTCTCGACTTCAGCACTGCTTTCTTGCAGGGTAGTCTGCACGAGGAGATCTGGCTGCGTCGCCCACCCGGCTTCACTGGGTCTTTCCCTCCTGGTACCCAGTGGAGTCTCCGGCGTCCAGTCTACGGTCTCCGCCAGGCGCCACGTGAGTGGCACGACACACTGAGGACTACGCTGGCGGCACTTGGGTTTGCTCCCTCTACTGCCGACCCGTCGCTGTTTCTTCGCACCGACACCTCTCTGCCGCCGTTCTACATCCTCGTGTACGTCGACGACTTGGTCTTTGCCACAGCTGACACTGCTGGACTTGCCTACGTGAAGTCCAAGCTACAGAAGAGACACACGTGCACTGACCTGGGTGAACTGCGCAGCTACCTTGGCTTGCAGATCACCCGGGACAGAGCACGCCGCACCATTACCCTGACTCAGTCACACATGGTGCAGCAGGTCCTTCAGCGCTTCGGCTTCACGTACTCCTCGCCTCAGGCCACTCCTCTGCCTACTCGCCACTCGCTCTCAGCTCTGCCTTCGGATGAGTCCGTAGAGTCGAGTGGCCCGTATGCAGAGCTTGTTGGCTGCCTCATGTACCTGATGACCTGCACACGACCTGACCTTGCATACCCTCTTAGCATTCTCGCACGCTATGTTGCTCCTGGGAGACACCGACCAGAGCACATGGCTGCAGCGAAGAGGGTGTTGCGCTACTTGTGCAGTACGTCGGGCATGGGGCTAGTGCTTGGAGGGCGCAGTCCAGTGGTCCTCACTGGGCACGCGGACGCTTCTTGGGCTGACGACCAGGCTACGCAGCGGTCGTCACAGGGTTACACCTTCAGCCTTGGTTCCGGCTTTGTCTCGTGGCGGGCTACCCGCTCGTCTTCTGTTCTCGGCTCCAGTTGTGAGGCTGAGATCTACGCCGGGGCCATGGCTGCACAGGAGCTTTGCTGGCTCACCTACCTGCTGACCGACCTTGGAGAGCCGCCTCGTTCTCCTCCAGTCCTGTACGTCGACAACAAGGCCATGCTGGCCTTGTGTCGAGAGCAGCGACTGGAGCACAGGACAAAGCACATTGCTCTTCGCTACTTTCTTGCTCGTGAGCTACAGCAGCGTGGACAGTTGCGACTTGCGTACGTGGCCTCTGAGGCCAACACTGCTGATGTCTTCACCAAGGCACTTGCGCCTTGTGATCATCAGCGTTGTTGCACGCAGCTGGGTCTTGTGCCTGTCTTACCTCACTTGCTCGCTTCTTGACCTTGCTTGTACCTTGATCTATATATACTCTTGTATATCTCTATATATGCTCTTGCATGTGAACTGGCCTTTTGGCCTTTTGAACTTGTGCTCGGAATGTGTGGTGACTTTGTGATCCACCCTGAGCTTTGCTTTGCTTTGCTTGACTGGTCTTATGACCCCTTGTTCTCCCCCACTTTGCCTATGGGGGTGTGTCAGAATATTATAGCTTACTTATTTGTGTAGGCTATAGTGGGGTATCCCATAGGGGGTACAACACAACTAGGGTTTCCTATTTGTACTCACTTCGTTCATAGTCATTTCATTCTCTCGTTCACTTCTTCTCATGTTGGACACGATTATGTTGGACACCCGAGAATGTTGGACTCGTGAATGTTGGACTCGAGAATGTTGGACACCCGAGAATGTTGGACTCGAGAATGCTTAAGCAGGCACTTGGTCCAAGCAGGCACTTGGTCCAAGCAAGCACTTGGTCCAAGCAAGCACTTGGTCCAAGCAAGCACTTGGTCAAAGCAAGCCTCACTTGGTCCAAGCTAGCATTTGGTCCAAGCAAGCACTTCGTCCAAGCAAGCATTTGGTCCAAGCAAGCATTTGGTCCAAGCAAGCACTTGGTCGAAAGAAACACTTGGTCCAAGCAAGCACTTGGTCCAAGCAAGCACTTGGTCCACGCAAGCACTTGGTCTAAGAAAGCACTTGATCCAAGAAAGCACTTGGTCCAAACAAGCACTTGGTCCAAGCAAGCACTTGGTCCAAGCAAGCACATTTTCCAAGCAGGCACTTGGTCCAAGCAAGCACTTGGTCCAAGCAAGCACTTGGTCCAAGCAAGCACTTGGTCCAAGCAAGCACTTGGTCCAAGCAAGTCTCACTTGGTCCAAGCAAGCATTTGGTCCAAACAATCACTTGGTCCAAGCAAGCATTTGGTCCAAGCAAGCACTTGGTCCAAGCAAACACGAGAATGTTGGACACGAGAATGTTGGACTCGAGAAAGTTGGACACGAGAATGTTGGACACGAGAATGTTATTTGGCCGTGGGCCTCACTGGGGCGCTCGACGCTCGCCAAATCGCGTTGCGGAAGGCGTTTTTCGCGTTGGTCTTGTTGCACTTCCGGCAGCTTCCGCGCGCTGACTTGGCGTACTCTGCCTTGAACGGCTCCGGCTTGGTGCGCTCTACCTTGTCTATTACGCGAAGTATGATGGTTTGTCTGTGGCGCTGGGCCTAAATGGCGCGAAATCTATGATGGGATGGAAAACAAGAAATGAATGGTTATTGGTGGGATTGGAGACCCAGAATTTGTCGCACGCAGCATTGACAGTCGCGCTCTCACCAAATCATTCGCAGAACCCAGAATATGCTGTCATAAACTAGTAGCAGGCCCTCAGATATCAGCGTAAAACACGCAGATTAGGCTGATTTTGTAGCTGTGATTTTCGTTTTCCATGAGAATTCAGCATATGCTTCAATTTTGCACTGAATTTTCAGTATAACCTATCTTGTCACACTGACCATTTTGCGTGTTGCTGTACAAGTAACACTGACGAATCAGTACAGTGATGTGAGTCACACTGAAACGAACTTGACCGCGTGGGGAGGGGGGGGGGGGGGGGGGGGGGGGGGGGTGAGGACAGGGTACGCGTGTACAGTCTGTACCTTCCCGTGATTCACGATCCCGTGATTTTTTTCCCATGCGCTGTACAGACAGTTGGTGCGCGCCAAACTGTTTTGCCTCGCTGGAAAATACCTATCACAACACAACAGCTCTGGTGACGCTGCTGCACAACACTCCGTTTTAACCTTGTTCACGACTGCCCACTATCACCTTGTTTTTTTTTACACTGGTGGTTCAGTATACTAAGAATTTTTACACTGACAAAATCAGTATAAACAAAACCATGAACGCTGATTTGGACACCTGGTTGGCTGGGGCACGCTGATCCATCAGCATACCCTCAAACCAATCTGAGGGCCTGACTGGTAGCTTGCATTCCTCTGCATCAATTTCTATGTGCATAACATGCGGATGATATAGTACACTACTTCCGACCAATTGAGTGAGAATTTGCATATGCACATGTGGGCGCCAAATATATGGTCTTACGAGAAAACAGGTTCTAGCAAAGCCCGCAAGTTGCGCATGTGACTAGACACTAAAGCATCATCCATTGCACCCCAATCAGCGCTAAGAAAATCTGAAGCTTGTTCCAACGCTGCCTCTCTATCAACATCCTCCGTTCCATCTCCGCCTTCTGTCCCCATTAGAAGCACCAGATACAGTTGCTCTGCACATGCCTCCGAACCTGTTGCAGATGCATCGGAGCATGAAATATGAAAGGGTCTTGATCTTCTAAACATGTAACACAACCCATGGACCGGGCTTGCTGTGACACTGGACACGCAAGGAGGAGATACGCAGTGGAGCGCAATGGCAGTACTCTGCCGATACGAGTAGTGGGTGCAATGCTGCCAGAGCAGGCACAATCGCAGTGGGGACTGGCCGGTACACACGCAAAGGGGACTATGAGGTGAACTCACAGTGGGGAAGCGCACGGCGATCAGCCAGAGGAGCGTGGAGAGGGCGTGGCGGCGAGCGGAGCAGAGGGGGGCGGCGAGGTGGCAGAGCAGGTCGACGGCTCCCAGCATCTTGGGCACCGATGCCGTGGGCTGTGGGCGGCACAGCTCCTCATCCTATCCCTCCACCAGCGCCCCGGGTAGAGCCGCCAGGGGGGTGGTGGCGGGAATAGGCTGCGAGGGCAGGGCAATGCTATGCAGAATGTCAGGATGGAGGCGGTTGGCATGCACAGAGGGATGGCCCAATGGCCCAGAGTGTGAGGATGATGTGAATGGGGGAAGATGAGGGATGCCAACAGGGTTAGTGGGCGTTGGAGAGGGCAGGTGCAGTGCAGGGCTTCACGGACCTCGTCTGAAGCTGGGCTGTCAGCTGATAGTGACCCGAAGAACTCGGCCTGAAGCAGGGCAGCGATTGCCTGCAGTGAGAGCAGAGGGCAACCAGTAGGAGCACACACACAGTGAGAGCACACAGGAGATGAGAGTGTAAGAGCAGTAGCAAGCCTCAACAAAGAACCACACACAGGCATGCAGGGCAGCAATGCGTCACAGCACTTGTCTTCAGTGCACCCTCTCGCACACGGCAGGGCACAGCCACTAGCGGCGGCCTGTGCACAGTTGCATTCTGGCCAGGCCATCACACATGAAAGCGAGAGCCATGCTGCTGTGAAGGGAAAATTAGTTGGCATGCACTCAAATGCAGCATTCTACCTTGATGTACAGAATTATGACCCGGGTCTGCTTGCGGTGCCGCCTCAGCAGCACCACCACATCCTCTGCTATCCGCCCCTGCACCTCCTCCCACTGCCTGCCCCCACCCCCCTCTCCTGCCTCCCTCGTGCCCCCCTGTGCCCCCAGTGCTTGTTTGAGGGAGAGCAGGGCGCTCAGGGAGGCGGCGGTGAGGGAGTGAGAGAGAGCGCCCGCGGAGAGCAGCAGCCCCGATAGCAGTGGCAGGCGGTAGGCGGGGAGACAGCCGCGGGATTCTGGGTGTGGAGGGAAGAGGGGGAAGGGAGGGGAAATGATGGAGGTGAATGCGGGAGGACCAGAGGTGGGTCGGAATGAGAAGGACTGGAGCAACAAAGGAGCAGAGAGAGCGGAATAGCTGTGAGCACAGCACAGCAAAGCAGATCAGAGCATACGGTGTACCTTCCATGCAAAGTGAGGGTCAGAGGGCACATGTTGCCTCAGCTGCTCCCACCCATCCACATCCCTGCACACACCGCTCCCTTCCGCCCTGCCGCCCACGCATTGCCTCACAGAACCTCCTCCATCCCTCCCCTCCTCGCCTCCACCTGATGTCCCCAGCGTGCTGCCACCAGCTCCACATGTCTCAACTGCCTCTCCTGTCCATGCTTCCTCTCTTGTCTCTCGCATCCCCACGAACACTGCACCGTGCTTCCCTCCCCACAGCAGCCGCTGCAGCCCCTGCCCTGACACCTTGCGTGTGCCGTCAATCTTCTCCCTCGCCTGCTTCATCAGCACACCCACCACCCGCCCTGCCACCTCTCTGCACCACTCCCGCATCCCAATGTATCGCTGCTGCTGGGAAGAGGCGTCGTGTGTTGTTGGCAGGGCAGGGCTTGGCACGCCATGTGGGAGACTCGCCTCTGCTGCACCCCCTCCATCCCCCACATCACCTTCTCCCACCTCTCTCAACCTGTACATTTCTCCCACCCATCCCACCAGCGCTTTCATAGAAGCTTCTGTCAGATTATCATAGCTGATGCATGTTTGTAGGCTATAGTGGGGTAGCACATATGGGGTACAGCTTTCTAGGGTTGTATTTGTACCCAACTCTGACTTAGTCATTTCATTCCTGTTCATTGATTCTCTCATGGTATAGAGCGGGTCCTTCCTAAGGACCGTTTTTTTTTAAGGGCCCACCCACGATTTTTTTTTTTCCTGCCCGGAGCGCGCCCTATTCTCCCCGAGGCGCGCTCCCCCCTAGTGCTTGTCGCGCTGCCCTTGTGGCGCCCCGCGAGTCGCGCGCGCGACTCCTTTTTTTTTCGCGCGCGCGGCCCGGGCCCCACGTCGCGCTGGCCTTACGGCCGCGCCGCGCCGCCCTCTCGGCTCTGCTGCGCCCCGCCGCCCTCACGCCGGCCGCGCGGCCTCTTCGTCGATGCAGCGGGCCCCGTCACCTGACGGCCCCGCCGTCCTCTTTTGACGGCCCCGCCGTCCCCTACTCTCGGCCCCGCCGTTGCAACCTGACGGCCCCGCCACTGCACCTGTCGGCCCCGCCGCTGCACCCTGACGGCCCCGCCGTCCCCTGTCCCGGCCCCCGCCGCTGCACCCTGCCGGCCCCGCCGCTGCACCTCTGTCGGCCCCGCCGCTGCACCCTGACGGCCCCGCCGTCCCCTGTCACGGCCCCGCCGTCCCCTGTCACGGCCCCGCCGCTGCACCCTGACGGCCCCGCCACTGCACCAGTCGGCCCCGCCGCTGCACCCTGACGGCCCCGCCGTCCCCTGTCCCGGCCCCGCCGCTGCACCCTGACGGCCCCGCCGCTGCACCCTAACGGCCCCGCCGTCCCCTGTCCCGGCCCCGTCCTGCACCCGAGCCGCCCTGCCGCCGAGCCGCCCGGGAGCCGAGCCGCCCTGCACCCGAGCCGCCCTGCCGCCGAGCCGCCCGGGAGCCGAGCCGCCCTGCACCCGAGCCGCCCTGCCGCCAAGCCGCCCGGGCGCCGAGCCGCCCTGCACCCGAGCCGCCCTGCCGCCGAGCCGCCCGGGAGCCGAGCCGCCCAACAGCCGAGTCGCTGAGTCGCCGAGCCGCCCTTCTGCAGAGTTGCCCGGCCTGCCCTGCCTGGTGAGCACAGTCGCACTGTCACTGCGTGCTCTTCCCCTACCGCTTGCACTGCTTCGCTGTCGTCGTCATGGCTACCCCTAGTGTCCTAGCTTTTGACGTTGAGGGTCGAGCCATTGACTTTGAGGTCTGGGTAGACGACCTGCAGTTGTTTTTACAGTGCGATAGGGCAGACGGCCTCTCTCTCTTTGACCTTACCTCTGGCGCCTCTCCTGCTCCTGCTGCTGATGCTGATCCCACTGTGCGCTCTCAGTGGGCCACCCGCGATGCTGCTGCACGTCTTGCTGTGCGTCGCCACCTCCCTACCTCTGAGCGCGCGCACTTTAGTCAGTACAAGAGTGCTCAGACCTTGTACGACGCTGTAGTTGCGCGCTACTCCTCCCCTGCGACTGCTGCACTGAGCCGTCTCATGCTTCCCTACCTCTTTCCTGACCTCTCTGCCTTTCCCACTGTCGCTGACCTAATTACACACCTCCGCACTAGTGACACTCGCTACCGCGCCGCCCTTCCTGCTGAGTTCTGCGCTAAGAACCCCCCCCCCCATGTACATCGCTCTCTACTACGTAGTCGCGCGCCTCCCTGACTCCCTTCGCGTCGTCAGGGACCACTTTCTCGCAGTCTGTCCCACCACCCTCACCGTCGACTTCCTCGAGAAGGCCCTCCTCGCAGCGGAGAAGAGCATAGTCGCTGTAGGTGCTTCTCGTGGTGACCCTCGCACCCCCATCTTTGAGGGGTGCTCTCCTTCCCCCTTGCTGCCCTCTGTTGCCTCTGCTGCTGCTGCCGACCTGCTTGGTCTTGAGTCGGTCGGCGCGGCGTCTGCCCCTAGTGGGAGACGTCGCTCCAGCAAGGGCAAGGGGGGCAAGGGCGCGGGTGGAGCTGGAGGGGGCGGTGGCGGTGGCGGCGGTGGCGGCGGAGGGAGTGGGGGTGGCGGCGGGACTAGTGGCGGGGGTGGTGGTGGTGGTGGCAGCAGCGGCGGAGACGGTGATGGTGGTGCCAGCGGTGGTGGTGGAGGCAGCGGCGGAGGTGGAGGCGGCGGAGGTGGAGGCGGTGGAGGCGGCAGCGGAGGTGGCGGTGGTGGTGGAGGAGGTGGAGCTGGTCGGGGTGGTACCCAGCAGCGTAGCGGCGGTGGTGGTGGCCAGCGGTCGCAGCGGCAGCAGCAGCAGCGCTCGCGGGACATCCCTCTGCCTCAGCAACTTCGTGAGTGGTACGCTGGGCGTCAGAGGGGTGGGGGTACTGGTCCCTGCACCTACGTTCTTCGTTCCGGCGACCGCGCGGGTGAGCAGTGTGGGGGTGCCCACGCCGCCCAGCGCTGCTTTGGCCGCCTGACGGACGCTTGGCGACAGCAGTTCCCTGGGGCTAGTGAGATCCCTCGCTGGGATGAGCTTCTTAGGGCTGGTGTAGCGATCTTTGATCTTGATTTTGAAGCTATCCTTGCTGCTATGTATGCTGTGACTTATAGTGAGGAGAATGAGGGTTACCGGTGTTTCCAGCCCGACCCGGGCATTGGTACTGCTGCACTAGGTGCTTGTGATGCTGCTGCTCTAGGTGCCAGTGCGTCTGCGCTCTCAGGTACAGGTGAGACTGCGCTCTCAGGTACTGCGTCGTCCTCGTCCTCCCTCACTTTCACACTTGACTCCGGGGCTTCTCGCTCCTTCTTTCGAGACCGCACTACCCTTACGCCGCTCGGCCGGCCGGTTGCAGTCTCCCTTGCTGACCCCTCTGGGGGTCCTGTCCTGTCTCACTTCTGCACTGTCCTCCCGTGTCCGGCTGCCCCTTCGGGCACCCTGTCTGGTCTGTACCTTCCCTCGTTCTCTACGAACTTGGTGAGTGGCGCGGACCTGCAGGATGTGGGGGTTCACCAGTTCACTCCTGCGAGTCAGCGGGTGACCCACTGAACGGAGGCACGCACAGGCCGACACCTGGCCACGTTCTCGCGTCGGCCGGGGTCGAGTCTCTACACCCTGACCGTTGAGTCTCCTCCTGTCCCTGCGTCTGCTCAGGTGGCTGCGTCAGGTCAGGTGCTTGCTGCTGCGTCCCGGTCAGGTCCTGGGTCTGCCCCCTGTTCTTGTCGCCTCCTGTCTCACGAGACTCTCCTGTGGCACCACCGTCTTGGCCACCCCTCCTTGCCCCGTCTTCGGAGCATGGCTTCCCGTGTCCTTGTCTTTGGTCTTCCCCAGTCTCTCCCTCCTCTCCCCTCCGGGCCAGGACCTTCCTGTGTCCCCTGTGTCGAGGGTCGCCTCCGCGCTACTCCTCACTCCTCCCACTTCCCCCCGACAGAGGCTCCCCTGCAGACGCTTCACATGGATGTGTGGGGCCCAGCCCCCGTCCGTGGGCAGGGTCACGAGCGCTACTTCCTGTTGGTGGTTGACGACTACTCGCGTTACACCACAGTCCTCCCCTTGCGCAGCAAGGGTGCGGTCACTGAGGTGCTGATCGACTGGATCCGCGAGGCTCGTCTCCAGCTCAGGAAGAGCTTCGGCTCGGACTTTCCTGTTCTGCGTCTGCACTCGGACAGAGGCGGAGAGTTCTGTTCTCGCCTTCTGCGAGACTACTGTCGTGCACGGGGGATCCGCTAGACCTTCACGCTTCCGGACTCACCACAGCAAAATGGGATTGCTGAGCGCCGCATTGGCATGGTCATGGATGTCGCTCGTACGTCCATGATGCATGCGGCTGCCCCCCATTTTCTGTGGCCGTTTGCGGTGAGGTACGCGGCGCATCAGCTCAACCTTCACCCCCGTGTCTCTCGGCCTGCGATGTCCCCAGCCTTGCTGTGGACGGGGAAGGTTGGCGATGCGTCTGTGTTCCGTGTCTGGGGATCTCGGGCGTTTGTCCGCGACTTGTCTGCGGACAAGCTGTCCCCTCGTGCTGCTCCCTGTGTCTTCCTTGGCTTCCCCACTGACGCCCCAGGGTGGCAGTTTTACCACCCCTCCTCTCGTCGTGTTCTGTCCTCCCAGGACGTCACGTTCGACGAGTCAGTCCCCTTCTACCGTCTCTTCCCCTACCGCACTCCTTCCCTCCCCCCTCCCCCGGACTTCCTTGTGCCGGTTCCCCCCCCGGTAGACCCCCTCCCCCCTCAGGTTCCTGCCCCCTCAGGTGTGTCCCAGGTAGACGCCGTTGACCCGGTCGAGGTTACTGGTGACTCTGGTGCTGCTGCGGGTGCTGAGCCTGGGGGTGCTGACTCTGGGGGTGCTGTGCGCGGGGGTGCTGACCCTGGGGGTGCTACTGCTGGGGGTGCTGGGCCTGAGGGTGCTACTGCGGAGGGTGCGGAGCCTGGGGGTGCTGAGCCGGGGGGTGCTGTGCCTGAAGGTGCTGGGTCTGGGGGTGCTGGGTCGGGAGCTGCTGAGCCTGGGGGTGCTGAGCTGGGAGCTGCTGAGCCTGGGGGTGCTGCGTCTGGAGCTGCTGAGCCTGGGGTTTTTCCTGCTGCTGCGTCTCGCCGGGAGCCCCTCTCTCCACAGGAGCTGCGCGAGTGGTTCGCTCGCCGCTGGAGGCGTGCTGCTGAGTCTGGAGGTGCTGCTGGAGCTGGAGCTGGAGCTTCTTCGACCGTCGAGGGTGCGGGTGCTGCCGGTCCCGGAGCTGCTGGACCTACGGGTCCTCCTGGAGCTGGAACTGCTGAGGGCGTTGGTGCTGAGCCTACTGCTGTTGGTCCTGCCGCTGGAGGTGTGGGTGGCGCTGGTGCTGTCGCTGAGGGTGCTGGTGCTGTCCCTGCTTAGTCTGGAGCTGCCGTGCGGCCTCGGCCGTACTTCGTTCCGCTCCTGCAGCAGGTTCTTGGTCTTTCTCCTCTGATAGAGGGTCCACCGCCTGTCCAGTCGCAGTCCCTGCTGGAGCCTTCCTCTCCACTGCCTGCTCCCTCTCCTTACACTGGTCCTACTGGAGGTCTTGCTGAGCGTCGTGAGCCTGCGTCTCGTCCCGCGTCGCCTGTTCGTGCTGCTCGCGCTAGTGGTCGCAGTTCGCATCAGCGTCCTCCTCCTGTCCCTGGCACCCACCGGATGTCTTTGCGTCCGTCCACTCCTCCTCTGCGTGCCCCTTTGCCTTCTCCTCCTGAGTCCTCTCTTCCTGCGCTTGCCGACCCTGAGTCGGACTCTCTTCGTGCTGCCAGTCCTACTGTCACGCGTCTGCTTGCTACTGTCGTCACTGACCCCTCTTTTGAGTCCACTGCTGCGTCTGCTCTAGTCGCTGAGCTCGTCGACTTTGCTGCTCGCTGTCGTCTCGACTACGCTGCTAGTCTTGTTGCTGAGTGTGCGTCTGTCTGTCCTCCGTCCGTCGGGGGTGAGTATGCTTTTAGCACGGACGTCCTAGAGGACAGGCAGGAGGAGTTACAGTGTCTAGCGGCTGCTTCACCTCATCTCGCGTCTGTACTGCTTGCCCCTGAGGAGACCCGGATGCACTAGACATCCCGACTCCGCGTTCTTACGCGGAGGCTGTAGAGGGTCCCTACTCCTCTCAGTGGCAGGCAGCTATGGATGCAGAGATGGCTTCCTGGAAGTCCACAGGCACCTACGTTGACGCGGTTCCCCCTCCTGGGGCGAACATCGTCAGTGGCATGTGGATCTTCAGGGTGAAGCGGCCGCCGGGCTCTCCACCTGTCTTCAAGGCACGGTACGTTGCTCGTGGCTTCAGTCAGCGGCAGGGAGTTGACTACTTTCAGACCTTCTCTCCCACCCCGAAGATGTGTTCATTGATTCTCTCAGCTTCCCTCACAAGGCGGCCCACATCGCTCCGCTGGTCCTCCGTGTAGTCCTGTGCTGCTCGCAGCAACGCACCCACCACACTCTCCCCCCCCTCCTCCCACCACCCAAGCCCTACCAAACCACGCTGTCTTCTCAGCTCAACCTCCTCCTTCTCCCCCTCCTCCTTCTCCCCCTCCCCCACCTGTGTCCCGGCTCCCCCACCTGTCCCTGCGTGCCCCCTTGTGCCTGCCCCGCCGGCCTGCAGGAGGGGAATGATGCTGGCTGCATTACCCAGTGCCTCCACGGCTGCTGCCCGCACTGCCACGTCAGACACGGCACGACGCCCCCGCTGCAGGGATGACAGGAGGGGATAAGGGGTGGGGGGTCGTTGCAGAGTGGGTGAAAAATGGGTGGGTGGTGGAAATGTGAAGGAATTGAAAATCTGATCGCAAGGGTGTCTGGACACATGAAATTAAAGTATGAGGCATCAATGTTAGGGAAGTCGGAGGATAAGAAAGGCAGGATGGAGGGAATGGGATGGGTGGAGGGGCAGAGGCAGAGGCAGAGGCAGAGAGCACTCACATTGTTGGTGGCAGCAGCACACAGCGCCTTCACCACCCGCTCTGCCAGCTCGTACCTTGACATCTCACTCTTATCCACCCCTCCCTCATCCCCTCTCCCCTCCGTCCCCCCATGTCTCTCCCCGTCCTCTTGCCCTGTATTTGCGCCCCCCACGCCTAGCCCCGCTTCATCAGTGCCAGCATCAGGGGAGTCAAGGGGAGAGGCGGAGGGCCAGGCAGGTCAGAGGCTGGGCAGGAAGCACTGCAGTGCCAACACAGCGCCTCGCCTCGCACTCGCTGCAGAGCTGGTAGACTCCAGAGTCGCTGCATGGCAGGTGACTATTTGGTGCACGAGGTGCGTGCAGGCAGGGAAGAGCTGGGAGCGAGCGAGGTCCCACAGGGCTGCTGCTGCTGCCTCCTGCACCAATGAGACAAAGCGCGCCCGTGCACACTGGGGCAAGGTGGGGAGGAGTGCGGGAAAGGTTGGAGGCGGGGGTAGGAGAGGGGAAGAGGAGAGTGGTGAAACGTGAGCAATGAGCCTAGGGGATGCTGCAAGCACGGTAGGGTGTTTGCGTTGACATGGTGTGCCCACCATGCTTCCAGTGCGTGCGCTTCCAGTCTCTCAACCCGTCACTCCCCCCTCCCGTCCCGCCCCACCCTCACCTGGAGCTCGCCCCCATCACCAGCCAGCATGTCATGCAGGCACGCAGTGGCAGCAGTGAGAGCAGGCACGGGCAGGGGCGGCAGGTGTGCGCGGGGCAGTGCAGCAGCGAGCGCGGAGAGCAGGCGGCAGCAGGCCACCTTGAGATCTGCTGCTAGGCGCCCTCGGAAGGAGCGCGGGGCGAGGAGACTCGGGAGAGAGGAGGTGAGGGAGGAGAGGGTGCCTGTGAGGGCACAGGAGGGAGAGGATGCGGAGAGGGGTGGCAGGAGGGCAGCAGTGGCGAGAAGGGCTTCGTGGCGAAAGGGGGGGTCGGGACTTGGGGGAGGCGAGCAGGGGGAGGAGGTGCAGGTGCAGGAGGGAGAGCAGGTGGGGTGGGTCCAGGGGGGCGATGGCGGCGAGAGAGTGGGCAGCGAGGGCGCAAATGGCCTTGTCCCAGTGGTGCGTGCTGGATGCTAGCTTGAGTAGTAGCAGCTCCCGGTACTCTGGATAGCCTGCCACGAATGGTGCCACCTGGTAACAAGGGGAAAGCAGGAGGAGAGGTAGGAGGAGAGATGTAAGGAGAGGCAAATGGCGGTTACTGAGGCACACTTGACAGTGGTGCATGTGCATGTGCAGGTGCGGCAAGGGCGGATGAGAATGATTACGGCTTCTCAGTCTGACAGGTGCGGCTGTGGTGGGCACGTGAGTGAATGAGGTGCGAGTGGACGACAGCGACGTGACGTCAGCAGCATTCACTATGGCAATCCCCCCTGCTGGCGCCCACTGTTCCTCCTCCTTGGCACCGCTCTCCACTGCATCACCTCCTTGGCCAGCTCCTCTGGTGGAGGCATGGGGTGTGCCTCGGGTGGTGGGCGTCGGAGATGCAGCCAAAGCGACCCACCACCTCCTGGAAGGCCGCTGCTGCCGCCCACCTGCACATCATCTGGGCGCATTGCATGGGGTGTGAAGCATGGGGCATGGGCCTGGGGTTTGAGGCACGGGGCATGGGGCATGAGGTATGGGGGGGCATGGGACAAGGGGCATGTGGCAATGTGCATGGGGCATCATGGGGTATGGGCATGGGGCATGGCGGTCACAGCAGCCCACCTGGCGGTCACAGCAGCCCCCCTGGCGGTCACACCACGCAACGGCAAGGAGGGGAGGGCAAAGCTGTTGCAGGGAAGCAGCAGCGACGGCCGGTGAGAAGGAGTGAGCGATGCCCAGAACACATACGCTGCTGCATCCCGCACATGCGCCCCTGTTCCCAGTGCCCCCCACAACACCTCGTAGAGCAACGCCTGGTGAAGGGGAGAAGAGGGAAGGGAGGGGGGAGGGGAGAGAATGTTGGGCGTGGGTGCAGAAAGGAGGGAGCCGCAGAATGGCGGGAGAAGGGGAAAGGGTGATGGGTGGGCGATGCACGAGGTAGGGACATCGAGGCGTTAGTGCTGTATGGTGGTAAACGGGCATTGAGTGCACGAGGAGCAGAGAGGGTGTGGACTGTGGATGGCACAGTGATGCGGTGGGGTATTGGAGCATGAAACGAGAAAGAGTGTGTGTACGGTGAGTGATTGAGTGGTGAGGTTAAGTGCGTGCAGTGAGCGAGGGGGGGCAGAGGGGGAGGAGGCACACAGAGGCGAGGAGGGGCGTGACGGAGTGCAGGCGCGACGGCAGCAGCAGCCCTCTAGCTGCCAGCTCCGCGAGTGCCAGACACACGCCCTGCCATGCACTGTCCGATGGTAGCTGGGGGAGGCACGGGGTGGGAGAAGGGGCTTCAGGGGAGAGGAGGGATGGATGGGGGGTGGTGAGGGTGAGATTGAGGAGAGTCACAAGGTAGGTGCTGGGATGGAATGTGAGATAAGCCAGCAGAGTCAACACACAAGCAGCAGAGCAGGCGAAGAAGCAGGGGAGACGAAACAATTATGTGGGCACTGGAACTTCAACTCGTGCAATTGCAGGGCAATTCCCTCACCTCGTGGGGGTCGTGGCAGCAGTACCCTCACTCACCTCATGGGGGTCATGGCGGCGGTACCCTCACTCAACTCATGGGGGTCGTGGCAGCAGTACCCTCACTCACCTCGTGGGTGTCGTGGCGGCGATACCCTCACTCACCTCGTGGGGGTCGTGGCGGCGGCGGTACCCTCACTCACCTCGTGGGGGTCGTGGCAGCGGTACCCTCACTCACCTCGTGGGGGTCGTGGCAGCGGCACCCTCACTCACCTCGTGGGGGTCGTGGCAGCGGTACCCTCACTCACCTCGTGGGGGTCGTGGCAGCGGTACCCTCACTCACCTCGTGGGGGTCGTGGCAGCGGTACCCTCACTCACCTCGTGGGGGTCGTGGCAGCGGTACCCTCACTCACCTCGTGGGGGTCGTGGCAGCGGCACCCTCACTCACCTCGTGGGGGTCGTGGCAGCGGTACCCTCACTCACCTCGTGGGGGTTGTGGCAGCGGTACCCTCACTCACCTCGTGGGGGTCGTGGCAGCGGTACCCTCACTCACCTCGTGGGGGTCGTGGCAGCGGTACCCTCACTCACCTCGTGGGGGTCGTGGCAGCGGTACCCTCACTCACCTCGTGGGGGTCGTGGCGGCGGTACCCTCACTCACTTCGTGGGGGTCGTGGCAGGGGTACCCTCACTCACCTCGTGGGGGTCGTGGGAGCGGTACCCTCACTCACCTCGTGGGGGTCGTGGCAGCGGTACCCTCACTCACCTCGTGGGGGTCGTGGCAGCGGTACCATCACTCACCTCGTGGGGGTCGTGGCAGCGGTTCCCTCACTCACCTCGTGGAGGTCGTGGCAGCGGTACCCTCACTCACCTCGTGGGGGTCGTGGCAGCAGTACCCTCACTCACCTCGTGGGGGTCGTGGCAGCGGTACCCTCACTCACCTCGTGGGTGTCGTGGCGGCGGTACCCTCACTCACCTCGTGGGGGTCGTGGCGGCGGCGGTACCCTCACTCACCTCGTGGGGGTCGTGGCGGCGGTACCCTCACTCACCTCGTGGGGGTCGTGGCAGAGGTACCCTCACTCACCTCGTGGGGGTCGTGGCAGCGGTACCCTCACTCACCTCGTGGAGGTCGTGGCAGCAGTACCCTCACTCACCTCGTGGGGGTCGTGGCGGCGGCGGTACCCTCACTCACCTCGTGGGTGTCGTGGCGGTGGTACCCTCACTCACCTCGTGGGGGTCGTGGCGGCGGCGGTACCCTCACTCGCCTCGTGGGGGTCGTGGCAGCGGTACCCTCACTCACCTTGTGGGGGTCGTGGCAGCGGCACCCTCACTCACCTCGTGGGGGTCGTGGCAGCGGTACCCTCACTCACCTCGTGGGTGTCGTGGCGGCGGTACCCTCACTCACCTCGTGGGGGTCGTGGCGGCGGCGGTACCCTCACTCACCTCGTGGGGGTCGTGGCAGCGGTACCCTCACTCACCTCGTGGGGGTCGTGGCAGCGGCACCATCACTCACCTCGTGGGGGTCGTGGCAGCGGTACCCTCACTCACCTCGTGGGGGTCGTGGCAGCGGTACCCTCACTCACCTCGTGGGGGTCGTGGCAGCGGTACCCTCACTCACCTCGTGGGGGTCGTGGCAGCGGTACCCTCACTCACCTCGTGGGGGTCGTGGCAGCGGTACCCTCATTCACTTCGTGGGGGTCGTGGCAGCGGTACTCTCACTCACCTCGTGGGGGTCGTGGGAGCGGTACCCTCACTCACCTCGTGGGGGTCGTGGCGGCGGTACCCTCACTCACCTCGTGGGGGTCGTGGCAGCGGTACCCTCACTCACCTCGTGGGGGTCGTGGCGGCGGTAGCCTCACTCACTTCGTGGGGGTCGTGGCAGCGGCACCCACCCTCACTCACCTCGTGGGGGTCGTGGCAGCGGTACCCTCCCTCACCTCGTGGGGGTCGTGGCAGCGGTACCCTCACTCACCTCGTGGGGGTCGTGGCAGCGGTACCCTCACTCACCTCGTGGGGGTCGTGGGGGCAGTAGCCTCACTCACCTCGTGGGGGTCGTGGCAGCGGCAACTTCACTCACCTCGTGGGGGTCGTGGCAGCGATACCCTCACTCACCTCGTGGGGGTTGTGGCAGCGGTACCCTCACCCACCTCGTGGGGGTCGTGGCAGCGGTACCCTCACTCACCTCGTGGGGGTCGTGGCAGCGGTACCCTCAGTCACCTCGTGGGGGTCGTGGCAGCGATACCCTCACTCACCTCGTGGGGGTCGTGGCAGCGGTACCCTCACTCACCTCGTGGGGGTCGTGGCAGCGGTACCCTCACTCACCTCGTGGGGGTCGTGGCAGCGGTACCCTCACTCACCTCGTGGGGGTCGTGGCGGCAGTAGCCTCACTCACCTCGTGGGGGTCGTGGCAGCGGTACCCTCACTCACCTCGTGGGGGTCGTGGCGGCGGTACCCTCACTCACCTCGTGGGGGTCGTGGCAGCGGTACCCTCACTCACCTCGTGGGGGTCGTGGCAGCGGTACTCTCACTCACCTCGTGGGGGTCGTGGCAGCGGCACCCTCACTCACCTCGTGGGGGTCGTGGTGGCGGCGGTACCGTCACTCACCTCGTGGGGGTCGTGGTAGCGGTACCCTCACTCACCTCGTGGGGGTCGTGGCAGCGGTACCCTCACTCACCTCGTGGGGGTCGTGGCAGCGGTACCCTCACTCACCTCGTGGGGGTCGTGGCAGCGACACCCACCCTCACTCACCTCGTGGGGGTCGTGGCAGCGATACCCTCACTCACCTCGTGGGGGTCGTGGCAGCGGTACCCTCACTCACCTCGTGGGGGTCGTGGGGGCGGTAGCCTCACTCACCTCGTGGGGGTCGTGGTGGCATCGGTACTGTCACTCACCTCGTGGGGGTCGTGGTGGCATCGGTACCGTCACTCACCTCGTGGGGGTCATGGCAGCGGTACCCTCACTCACCTCGTGGGGGTCGTGGCAGCGGTACCCTCACTCACCTCGTGGGGGTCGTGGCAGCGGTACCCTCACTCACCTCGTGGGGGTCGTAGGGGCGGTAGCCTCACTCACCTCGTGGGGGTCGTGGCAGCGGCAACTTCACTCACCTCGTGGGGGTCGTGGCTGCGATACCCTCACTCACCTCGTGGGGGTTGTGGCGGCGGTACCCTCACTAACCTCGTGGGGGTCGTGGCAGCGGTACCCTCACTCACCTCATGGGGGTCGTGGCAGCGGCACCCTCACTCACCTCGTGGGGGTCGTGGTGGCGGCGGTACCGTCACTCACCTCGTGGGGGTCGTGGTAGCGGTACCCTCACTCACCTCGTGGGGGTCGTGGCAGCGGTACCCTCACTCACCTCGTGGGGGTCGTGGCAGCGGTACCCTCACTCACCTCGTGGGGGTCGTGGCGGCGGTACCCTCACTCACCTCGAGGGGGTCGTGGCAGCGGTACCCTCACTCACCTCGTGGGGGTCGTGGCAGCGGTACCCTCACTCACCTCGTGGGGGTTGTGGCGGCGGTACCCTCACTCACCTCGTGGGGGTCGTGGCAGCGGTACGCTCACTCACCTCGTGGGGGTCGTGGCAGCGGCACCCTCACTCACCTCGTGGGGGTCGTGGTGGCGGCGGTACCGTCACTCACCTCGTGGGGGTCGTGGCAGCGGCACCCTCACTCACCTCGTGGGGGTCGTGGCAGCGGTACCCTCACTCAACTCGTGGGGGTCGTGGCAGCGGCACCCTCACTCACCTCGTGGGGGTCGTGGCTGCGGTACCCTCACTCACCTCGTGGGGGTCGTGGCAGCGGTACCCTCACTCACCTCGTGGGGGTCGTGGCAGCGGTACCCTCACTCACCTCGTGGGGGTCGTGGCGGCGGTACCCTCACTCACCTCGTGGGGGTCGTGGCAGCGGTACCCTCACTCACCTCGTGGGGGCCGTGGTGGCGACGGTACCCTCACTCACCTCATGGGGGTCGTGGCAGCAGTACCCTCACTCACCTCGTGGGGGTCGTGGCAGCGGCACCCACCCTCACTCACCTCGTGGGGGTCGTGGCAGCGATACCCTCACTCACCTCGTCGGGGTCGTGGCAGCCGTACCCTCACTCACCTCGTGGGGGTCGTGGCGGCGGTAGCCTCACTCACCTCGTGGGGATCGTGGCAGCGGCACCCACACTCACTCACCTCGTGGGGGTCGTGGCAGCGATACCCTCACTCACATCGTGGGGGTCGTGGCAGCGGTACCCTCACTCACCGCGTGGGGGTCGTGGCAGCGGTACCCTCACTCACCTCGTGGGGCTCGTGCCAGCGGCACCCTCACTCACCTCGTGGGGGTCGTGGCAGCGGTACCCTCACTCACCTCGTGGGGGTCGTGGCAGCGGTACCCTCACTCACCTCGTGGGGGTCGTGGCAGCGGTACCCTCACTCACCTAGTGGGGGTCGTGGGGGCGGTAGCCTCACTCACCTCGTGGGGGTCGTGGCAGCGGCAACTTCACTCACCTCGTGGGGGTCGTGGCAGCGATACCCTCACTCACCTCGTGGGGGTCGTGGCAGCGGTACCCTCACTCGGCTCGTGGGGGTCGTGGCAGCGATACCCTCACTCACCTCGTGAAATCGTGGCGGCGGCGGTACCCTCACTCACCTCGTGGGGGTCGTGGCAGCGGTACCCTCACTCACCTCGTGGGGGTCGTGGCAGCGGTACCCTCACTCACCTCGTGGGGCTCGTGGCAGCGGTACCCTCACTCACCTCGTTGGGGTCGTGGCAGCGGTACCCTCACTCACCTCGTGTGTCTCGTGGCGGCGGCGGTACCCTCACTCACCTCGTGGGGGTCGTGGCAGCGGCACCTTCACTCACCTCATGGGGGTCGTGGCAGCGGTACCCTCACTCACCTCGTGGGGGTCGTGGGGGCGGTAGCCTCACTCACCTCGTGGGGGTCGTGGCAGCGGCAACTTCACTCACCTTGTGGGGGTCGTGGCAGCGATACCCTCACTCACCTCGTGGGGGTTGTGGCTGCGGTACCCTCACTCACCTCGTGGGGGTCGTGGTGGCGGCGGTACCGTCACTCACCTCGTGGGGGTCGTGGCATCGGCACCCTCACTCACCTCGTGGGGGTCGTGGCAGCGGTACCCTCACTCACCTCGTGGGGGTCGTGGCAGCGGTACCCTCACTCAACTCGTGGGGGTCGTGGCGGCGGTACCCTCACTCACCTCATGGGGGTCGTGGCTGCGGCGGTACCCTCACTCACCTCGTTGGGGTCGTGGCAGCGGTACCCTCACTCACCTCGTGGGGGCCGTGGCGGCGGTACCCTTACTCACCTCGTGGGGGTCGTGGGGGCGGTAGCCTCACTCACCTCGTGGGGGTCGCGGGGGCGGTAGCCTCACTCACCTCGTGGGGGTCGTGGCAGCGGCAACTTCACTCTCCCCGTGGGGGTCGTGGCAGCGATACCCTCACTCACCTCGTGGGGGTTGTGGCGGCGGTACCCTCACTCACCTCGTGGGGGTCGTGGTTGCGGCGGTACCATCACTCACCTCGTGGGGGTCGTGGTAGCGGTACCCTCACTCACCTCGTGGGGGTCGTGGCAGCGATACCCTCACTCACCTCGTGGGGCTCGTGGCAGCGGTACCCTCACTCACCTCGTGGGGGTCGTGGCAGCGGTACCCTCACTCACCTCGTGGGGGTCGTGGCGGCGGCGGTACCCTCACTCACCTCGTGGGGGTCGTGGCAGCGGTACCCTCACTCACCTCGTGGGGGTCGTGGCAGCGGTACCCTCACTCACCTCGTGGGGCTCGTGGCAGCGGTACCCTCACTCACCTCGTGGGGGTCGTGGCAGCGGTACCCTCACTCACCTCGTGGGGGTCGTGGCGGCGGCGGTACCCTCACTCACCTCGTGTGGCTCGTGGCAGCGGTACCCTCACTCACCTCGTGGGGGTCGTGGCGGCGGTACCCTCACTCACCTCGTGGGGGTCGTGGCAGCGGTACCCTCACTCACCTCGTGGGGGTCGTGGCAGCAGTACCCTCACTCACCTCGTGGGGGTCGTGGCAGCGGCACCCTCACTCACCTCGTGGGGGTCGTGGCAGCGGTACCCTCACTCACCTCGTGGGGGTCGTGGGGGCGGTAGCCTCACTCACCTCGTGGGGGTCGTGGCAGCGCAAACTTCACTCACCTCGTGGGGGTCGTGGCAGCGATACCCTCACTCACCTCGTGGGGGTTGTGGCGGCGGTACCCTCACTCACCTCCTGGGGGTCGTGGTGGCGGTGGTACCGTCACTCACCTTGTGGGGGTCGTGGCGGCGGCACCCTCACTCACCTCGTGGGGGTCGTGGCAGCGGTACCCTCACTCACCTCGTGGGGGTCGTGGCAGCGGTACCCTCACTCACCTCGTGGGGGTCGTGGCGGCGGTACCCTCACTCACCTCGTGGGGGTCGTGGCGGCGGCGGTACCCTCACTCACCTCGTGGGGGTCGTGGCAGCGGTATCCTCACTCACCTCGTGGGGGCCGTGGCAGCGGTACCCTTACTCACCTCGTGGGGGTCGTGAGGGCGGTAGCCTCACTCACCTCGTGGGGGTCGTGGGGGCGGTATTCTCACTCACCTCGTGGGGGTCGTGGCAGCGGCAACTTCACTCACCTCGTGGGGGTCGTGGCAGCGATACCCTCACTCACCTCGTGGGGGTTGTGGCGGCGGTACCCTCACTCACCTCGTGGGGGTCGTGGTGGCGGCGGTACCATCACTCACTTCGTGGGGGTCGTGGTAGCGGTACCCTCACTCACCTCGTGGGGGTCGTGGCAGCGGTACCCTCACTCACCTCGTGGGGGTCGTGGCAGCGGTACCCTCACTCACCTCGTGGAAATCGTGCCAGCGGTACCCTCACTCACCTCGTGGGGGTCGTGGCAGCGGTACCCTCACTCACCTTGTGGGGGCCGTGGCGGCGACGGTACCCTCACTCACCTCGTGGGGATCGTGGCAGCGGTACCCTCACTCACCTCGTGGGGGTCGTGGCAGCGGTACCCTCACTCACCTCTTGGGGGTCGTGGCAGCGGTACCCTCACTCACCTCGTGGGAGTCGTGGCAGTGGTACCCTCACTCACCTCGTGGGGGCCGTGGCGGTGACAGTACCCTCACTCACCTCGTGGGGGTCGTGGCAGCGGCACCCTCACTCATCTCGTCGGGGTCGTGGCGGCGGCGGTACCCTCACTCACCTCGTGGGGGTCGTGGCAGCGGTACCCTCACTCACCTCGTGGGGGTCGTGGCAGCGGTAACCTCACTCACCTCGCGGGGATCATGGCAGCGGTACCCTCACTCACCTCGTGTGGGTCGTGGCAGCGGTACCCTCACTCACCTCGTGGGGGCCGTGGCAGCGGTACCCTCACTCACCTCGTGGGGGTCGTGGCAGCGGTACCCTCACTCACCTCGTGGGGGTCGTGGCAGCGGTACCCTCACTCACCTCGTGGGGGTCGTGGCAGCGGTACCCTCACTCACCTCGTGGGGGTCGTGGCAGCGATACCCTCACTCACCTCGTGGGGGTTGTGGCGGCGGTACCCTCACTCACCTCGTGGGGGTCGTGGCGGCGGCGGTACCCTCACTCACCTCGTGGGGGTCGTGGCAGCGGTACCCTCACTCACCTCGTGGGGGTCGTGGCAGCGGTACCCTCACTCACCTCGTGGGGGTCGTGGCAGCGGTACCCTCACTCACCTCGTGGGGGTCGTGGCAGCGGTACCCTCACTCACCTCGTGGGGGTCGTGGCAGCGGTACCCTCACTCACCTCGTGGGGGTCGTGGCAGCGGTACCCTCACTCACCTCGTGGGGATCGTGGCAGCGGTACCCTCACTCACCTCGTGGGGGTCGTGGCAGCGGCACCCTCACTCATCTCGTCGGGGTCGTGGCGGCGGCGGTACCCTCACTCACCTCGTGGGGGTCGTGGCAGCGGAACCCTCACTCACCTCGTGGGGGTCGTGGCAGCGGTACCCTCACTCACCTCGCGGGGATCATGGCAGCGGTACCCTCACTCACCTCGTGTGGGTCGTGGCAGCGGTACCCTCACTCACCTCGTGGGGGCCGTGGCAGCGGTACCCTCACTCACCTCGTGGGGGTCGTGGCAGCGGTACCCTAACTCACCTCGTGGGGGTCGTGGCAGCGGTACCCTCACTCACCTCGTGGGGGTCGTGGCGGCGGCGGTACCCTCACTCACCTCGTGGGGGTCGTGGCAGCGGTACCCTCACTCACCTCGTGGGGGTCGTGGCAGCGGTACCCTCACTCACCTCGTGGGGGTCGTGGCAGCGGTACCCTCACTCACCTCGTGGGGGTCGTGGCAACGGTACCCTCACTCACCTCGTGGGGGTCGTGGCAGCGGTACCCTCACTCACCTCGTTGGGGTCGTGGCAGCGGTACCCTCACTCAGCTCGTGGAGGTCGTGGCGGCGGTAGCCTCACTCACCTCGTGGGGGTCGTGGCAGCGGTACCCTCACTCACCTCGTGGGGGTCGTGGCAGCGGTACCCTCACTCACCTCGTGGGGGTCGTGGCGGCGGTAGCCTCACTCACCTCGTGGGGGTCGTGGCAGCGGTACCCTCACTCACCTCGTGGGGGTCGTGGCAGCGGTACCCTCACTCACCTCGTGGGGGTCGTGGCAGCGGTACCCTCACTCACCTCGTGGGGGTCGTGGCAGCGGTACCCTCACTCACCTCGTGGGGGTCGTTGCAGCGGTACCCTCACTCACCTCGTGGGGGTCGTGGCAGCGGTACCCTCACTCACCTCGTGGGGGTCGTGGCAGCGGTACCCTCACTCACCTCGTGCGGGTCGTGGCAGCGGTACCCTCACTCACCTCGTGGGGGTCGTGGCAGCGGTACCCTCACTCACCTCGTGGGGGTCGTGGCAGCGGTACCCTCACTCACCTCGTGGGGGTCGTGGCAGCGGTACCCTCACTCACCTCGTGGGGGTCGTGGCAGCGGTACCCTCACTCACCTCGTGGGGGTCGTGGCAGCGGTACCCTCACTCACCTCGTGGGGGTCGTGGCAGCGGTACCCTCACTCACCTCGTCGGGGTCGTGGCAGCGGTACCCTCACTCACCTCGTGGGGGTCGTGGCAGCGGTACCCTCACTCACCTCGTGGGGGTCGTGGCAGCGGTACCCTCACTCACCTCGTGCGGGTCGTGGCAGCGGTACCCTCACTCACCTCGTGGGGGTCGTGGCAGCGGTACCCTCACTCACCTCGTGGGGGTCGTGGCAGCGGTACCCTCACTCACCTCGTGGGGGTCGTGGCAGCGGTACCCTCACTCACCTCGTGGGGGTCGTGGCAGCGGTACCCTCACTCACCTCGTGGGGGTCGTGGCAGCGGTACCCTCACTCACCTCGTGGGGGTCGTGGCAGCGGTACCCTCACTCACCTCGTGGGGGTCGTGGCAGCGGTACCCTCACTCACCTCGTGGGGGTCGTGGCAGCGGTACCCTCACTCACCTCGTGGGGGTCGTGGCAGCGATACCCTCACTCACCTCGTGGGTGTCGTGGCGGCGGTACCCTCACTCACCTCGTGGGGGTCGTGGCAGCGGTACCCTCACTCACCTCGTGGGTGTCGTGGCGGCGGTACCCTCACTCACCTCGTGGGGGCCCTGGCGGCGACGGTACCCTCACTCACCTCGTGGGGGTCGTGGCAGCGGTACCTTCACTCACCTCGTGGGGGTCGTGGCGGCGGTACCCTCACTCACCTCGTGGGGGTCGTGGCAGCGGTACCCTCACTCACCTCGTGGGGGTCGTGGCAGCGGTACCCTCACTCACCTCGTGGGGGTCGTGGCAGCGGTATCCTCACTCACCGCATGGGGGTCGTGGCAGCGGCACCCTCACTCACCTCGTGGGTGTCGTGACGGCGGTACCCTCACTCACCTCGTGGGGGTCGTGGCAGCGGTACCCTCACTCACCTCGTGGGTGTCGTGGCGGCGGTACCCTCACTCACCTCGTGGGGGTCGTGGCAGCGGTACCCTCACTCACCTCGTGGGTGTCGTGGCAGCGGTAGCCTCACTCACCTCGTGGGGGTCGTGGCAGCGGTACCCTCACTCACCTCGTGGGTGTCGTGGCGGAGTACCCTCACTCACCTCGTGGGGGTCGTGGCAGCGATACCCTCACTCACCTCGTGGGTGTCGTGGCAGCGGTACCCTCACTCACCTCGTGGGGGTCGTGGCAGCGGCACCCTCACTCACCTCGTGGAGGTCGTGGCAGCGGTACCCTCACTCACCTCGTGGGGGTCGTGGCAGCGGCACCCTCACTCACCTCGTGGGGGTCGTGGCAGCGGTACCCTCACTCACCTCGTGGGGGTCGTGGTAGCGGTACCCTCACTCACCTCGTGGGGGTCGTGGCAGCGGTACCCTCACTCACCTCGTGGGGGTCGTGGCAGCGATACCCTCACTCACCTCGTGGGGGTTGTGGCAGCGGTACCCTCACTCACCTCCTGGAGATCGTGGCAGCGGTACCCTCTGTCACCTTGTGGGGGTCGTGGCTGCGGTACCCTCACTCACCTCGTGGGGGTCTTGGCAGCGGTACCCTCACTCACCTTGTGGGGGTCGTGGCAGCGGCACCCACCCTCACTCACCTCGTGGGGGTCGTGGCAGCGATACCCTCAGTCACCTCGTGGGGGTTGTGGCAGCGGTACCCTCACTCACCTCCTGGAGGTCGTGACAGCGGTACCCTCACTCACCTCGTGGGGGTCGTGGCAGCGGTACCCTCACTCACCTCGTGGGGGTCGTGGCAGCGGTACCCTCACTCACCTCGTGGGGGTCGTGGCAGCGGTACCCTCACTCACCTCGTGGGGGTCGTGGCAGCGGTACCCTCACTCACCTCGTGGGGGTCGTGGCAGCGGTACCCTCACTCACCTCGTGGGGGTCGTGGCAGCGGTACCCTCACTCACCTCGTGGGGGTCGTGGCAGCGGTACCCTCACTCACCTCGTGGGGGTCGTGGGGGCGGTAGCCTCACTCACCTCGTGGGGGTCGTGGCAGCGCAAACTTCACTCACCTCGTGGGGGTCGTGGCAGCGATACCCTCACTCACCTCGTGGGGGTTGTGGCGGCGGTACCCTCACTCACCTCGTGGGGGTCGTGGTGGCGGTGGTACTGTCACTCACCTTGTGGGGGTCGTGGCAGCGGCACCCTCACTCACCTCGTGGGGGTCGTGGCAGCGGTACCCTCACTCACCTCGTGGGGGTCGTGGCGGCGGTACCCTCACTCACCTCGTGGGGGTCGTGGCGGCGGCGGTACCCTCACTCACCTCGTGGGGGTCGTGGCAGCGGTATCCTCACTCACCTCGTGGGGGCCGTGGCGGCGGTACCCTTACTCACCTCGTGGGGGTCGTGAGGGCGGTAGCCTCACTCACCTCGTGGGGGTCGTGGGGGCGGTATTCTCACTCACCTCGTGGGGGTCGTGGCAGCGGCAACTTCACTCACCTCGTGGGGGTCGTGGCAGCGATACCCTCACTCACCTCGTGGGGGTTGTGGCGGCGGTACCCTCACTCACCTCGTGGGGGTCGTGGTGGCGGCGGTACCATCACTCACCTCGTGGGGGTCGTGGTAGCGGTACCCTCACTCACCTCGTGGGGGTCGTGGCAGCGGTACCCTCACTCACCTCGTGGAAATCGTGCCAGCGGTACCCTCACTCACCTCGTGGGGGTCGTGGCAGCGGTACCCTCACTCACCTTGTGGGGGCCGTGGCGGCGACGGTACCCTCACTCACCTCGTGGGGATCGTGGCAGCGGTACCCTCACTCACCTCGTGGGGGTCGTGGCAGCGGTACCCTCTTTCACCTCGTGGGGGTCGTGGCAGCGGTACCCTCACTCACCTCGTGGGGGTCGTGGCAGCGGTAACCTCACTCACCTCGTGGGGGCCGTGGCGGTGACAGTACCCTCACTCACCTCGTGGGGGTCGTGGCAGCGGCACCCTCACTCATCTCGTCGGGGTCGTGGCGGCGGCGGTACCCTCACTCACCTCGTGGGGGTCGTGGCAGCGGTACCCTCACTCACGTCTTGGGGGTCGTGGCAGCGGTACCCTCACTCACCTCGCGGGGATCATGGCAGCGGTACCCTCACTCACCTCGTGTGGGTCGTGGCAGCGGTACCCTCACTCACCTCGTTGGGGCCGTGGCAGCGGTACCCTCACTCACCTCGTGGGGGTCGTGGCAGCGGTACCCTCACTCACCTCGTGGGGGTCGTGGCAGCGGTAGCCTCACTCACCTCGTGGGGGTCGTGGCAGCGATACCCTCACTCACCTCATGGGGATTGTGGCGGCGGTACCCTCACACACCTCGTGGGGGTCGTGGCGGCGGCGGTACCCTCACTAACCTCGTGGGGGTCGTGGCAGCGGTACCCTCACTCACCTCGTTGGGGCCGTGGCAGCGGTACCCTCACTCACCTCGTGGGGGTCGTGGCAGCGGTACCCTCACTCACCTCGTGGGGATCGTGGCAGCGGTACCCTCACTCACCTCGTGGGGGTCGTGGCAGCGGTACCCTCACTCACCTCGTGGGGGTCGTGGCAGCGGTACCCTCACTCACCTCGTGGGGGTCGTGGCAGCGGTACCCTCACTCACCTCGTGGGGGTCGTGGCAGCGGTACCCTCACTCACCTCGTGGGGGTCGTGGCAGCGGTACCCTCACTCACCTCGTGGGGGTCATGGCAGCGGTACCCTCACTCACCTCGCGGGGATCATGGCAGCGGTACCCTCACTCACCTCGTGTGGGTCGTGGCAGCGGTACCCTCACTCACCTCGTGGGGGCCGTGGCAGCGGTACCCTCACTCACCTCGTTGGGGTCGTGGCAACGGTACCCTCACTCACCTCGTGGGGGTCGTGGCAGCGGTACCCTCACTCACCTCGTGGGGGTCGTGGCAGCGGTACCCTCACTCACCTCGTGGGGGTCGTGGCAGCGGTACCCTCACTCACCTCGTGTGGGTCGTGGCAGCGGTACCCTCACTCACCTCGTGGGGGCCGTGGCAGCGGTACCCTCACTCACCTCGTGGGGGTCGTGGCAGCGGTACCCTCACTCACCTCGTGGGGGTCGTGGCAGCGGTACCCTCACTCACCTCGTGGGGGTCGTGGCAGCGGTACCCTCACTCACCTCGTGGGGGTCGTGGCAGCGGTACCCTCACTCACCTCGTGGGGGTCGTGGCAGCGGTACCCTCACTCACCTCGTGGGGGTCGTGGCAGCGATACCCTCACTCACCTCGTGGGGATTGTGGCGGCGGTACCCTCACACACCTCGTGGGGGTCGTGGCGGCGGCGGTACCCTCACTAACCTCGTGGGGGTCGTGGCAGCGGTACCCTCACTCACCTCGTTGGGGCCGTGGCAGCGGTACCCTCACTCACCTCGTGGGGGTCGTGGCAGCGGTACCCTCACTCACCTCGTGGGGATCGTGGCAGCGGTACCCTCACTCACCTCGTGGGGGTCGTGGCAGCGGTACCCTCACTCACCTCGTGGGGGTCGTGGCAGCGGTACCCTCACTCACCTCGTGGGGGTCGTGGCAGCGGTACCCTCACTCACCTCGTGGGGGTCGTGGCAGCGGTACCCTCACTCACCTCGTGGGGGTCGTGGCAGCGGTACCCTCACTCACCTCGTGGGGGTCATGGCAGCGGTACCCTCACTCACCTCGCGGGGATCATGGCAGCGGTACCCTCACTCACCTCGTGTGGGTCGTGGCAGCGGTACCCTCACTCACCTCGTGGGGGCCGTGGCAGCGGTACCCTCACTCACCTCGTGGGGGTCGTGGCAGCGGTACCCTCACTCACCTCGTGGGGGTCGTGGCAGCGATACCCTCACTCACCTCGTGGGGGTTGTGGCAGCGGCGGTACCCTCACTCACCTCGTGGGGGTCGTGGCAGCGGTACCCTCACTCACCTCGTGGGGGTCGTGGCAGCGGTACCCTCACTCACCTCGTGGGGGTCGTGGCAGCGGTACCCTCACTCACCTCGTGGGGGTCGTGGCAGCGGTACCCTCACTCACCTCGTGGGGGTCGTGGCAGCGGTACCCTCACTCACCTCGTTGGGGTCGTGGCAGCGGTACCCTCACTCAGCTCGTGGAGGTGTGGCGGTAGCCTCACTCACCTCGTGGGGGTCGTGGCAGCGGTACCCTCACTCACCTCGTGGGGGTCGTGGCAGCGGTACCCTCACTCACCTCGTGGGGGTCGTGGCGGCGGTAGCCTCACTCACATCGTGGGGGTCGTGGCAGCGGTACCCTCACTCACCTCGTGGGGGTCGTGGCAGCGGTACCCTCACTCACCTCGTGGGGGCCGTGGCAGCGGTACCCTCACTCACCTCGTGGGGGTCATGGCAGCGGTACCCTCACTCACCTCGTGGGGGTCGTGGCAGCGGTACCCTCACTCACCTCGTGGGGGTCGTGGCAGCGGTACCCTCACTCACCTCGTGGGGGTCGTGGCAGCGGTACCCTCACTCACCTCGTGGGGGTCGTGGCAGCGGTACCCTCACTCACCTCGTGGGGGTCGTGGCAGCGGTACCCTCACTCACCTCGTGGGGGTCGTGGCAGCGGTACCCTCACTCACCTCGTGGGGGTCGTGGCAGCGGTACCCTCACTCACCTCGTGGGGGTCGTGGCAGCGGTACCCTCACTCACCTCGTGCGGGTCGTGGCAGCGGTACCCTCACTCACCTCGTGGGGGTCGTGGCAGCGGTACCCTCACTCACCTCGTGGGGGTAGTGGCAGCGGTACCCTCACTCACCTCGTGGGGGTCGTGGCAGCGGTACCCTCACTCACCTCGTGGGGGTCGTGGCAGCGGTACCCTCACTCACCTCGTGGGGGTCGTGGCAGCGGTACCCTCACTCACCTCGTGGGGGTCGTGGCAGCGGTATCCTCACTCACCGCATGGGGGTCGTGGCAGCGGTATCCTCACTCACCGCATGGGGGTCGTGGCAGCGGTACCCTCACTCACCTCGTGGGGGTCGTGGCAGCGATACCCTCACTCACCTCGTGGGGGTTGTGGCGGCGGTACCCTCACTCACCTCGTGGGGGTCGTGGCGGCGGCGGTACCCTCACTCACCTCGTGGGGGTCGTGGCAGCGGTACCCTCACTCACCTCGTGGGGGTCGTGGCAGCGGTACCCTCACTCACCTCGTGGGGGTCGTGGCAGCGGTACCCTCACTCACCTCGTGGGGGTCGTGGCAGCGGTACCCTCACTCACCTCGTGGGGGTCGTGGCTGCGGTATCCTCACTCACCGCATGGGGGTCGTGGCAGCGGTACCCTCACTCACCTCGTGGGTGTCGTGGCGGCGGTACCCTCACTCACCTCGTGGGGGTCGTGGCAGCGGTGCCCTCACTCACCTCGTGGGTGTCGTGGCGGCGGTACCCTCACTCACCTCGTGGGGGTCGTGGCAGCGGTACCCTCACTCACCTCGTGGGTGTCGTGTCAGCGGTAGCCTCACTCACCTCGTGGGGGTCGTGGCAGCGGTACCCTCACTCACCTCGTGGGTGTCGTGGCGGCGGTACCCTCACTCACCTCGTGGGGGCCCTGGTGGCGACGGTACCCTCACTCACCTCGTGGGGGTCGTGGCAGCGGTACCTTCACTCACCTCGTGGGGGTCGTGGCGGCGGTACCCTCACTCACCTCGTGGGGGTCGTGGCAGCGGTACCCTCACTCACCTCGTGGGGGTCGTGGCAGCGGTACCCTCACTCACCTCGTGGGGGTCGTGGCAGCAGTATCCTCACTCACCGCATGGGGGTCGTGGCAGCGGTAACCTCACTCACCTCGTGGGTGTCGTGGCGGCGGTACCCTCACTCACCTCGTGGGGGTCGTGGCAGCGGTACCCTCACTCACCTCGTGGGTGTCGTGGCGGCGGTACCCTCACTCACCTCGTGGGGGTCGTGGCAGCGGTACCCTCACTCACCTCGTGGGTGTCGTGGCAGCGGTAGCCTCACTCACCTCGTGCGGGTCGTGGCAGCGGTACCCTCACTCACCTCGTGGGTGTCGTGGCGGCGGTACCCTCACTCACCTCGTGGGGGTCGTGGCAGGGGTACCCTCACTCACCTCGTGGGTGTCGTGGCAGCGGTACCCTCACTCACCTCGTGGGGGTCGTGGCAGCGGCACTCTCACTCACCTCGTGGAGGTCGTGGCAGCGGTACCCTCACTCACCTCGTGGGGGTCGTGGCAGCGGCACCCTCACTCACCTCGTGGGGGTCGTGGCAGCGGTACCCTCACTCACCTCGTGGGGGTCGTGGTAGCGGTACCCTCACTCACCTCGTGGGGGTCGTGGCAGCGGTACCCTCACTCACCTCGTGGGGGTCGTGGCAGCGATACCCTCACTCACCTCGTGGGGGTTGTGGCAGCGGTACCCTCACTCACCTCCTGGAGGTCGTGGCAGCGGTACCCTCTGTCACCTCGTGGGGGTCGTGGCAGCGGTACCCTCACTCACCTCGTGGGGGTCGTGGCAGCGGTACCCTCACTCACCTCGTGGGGGTCGTGGCAGCGGCACCCACCCTCACTCACCTCGTGGGGGTCGTGGCAGCGATACCCTCACTCACCTCGTGGGGGTTGTGGCAGCGGTACCCTCACTCACCTCCTGGAGGTCGTGACAGCGGTACCCTCACTCACCTCGTGGGGGTCGTGGCAGCGGTACCCTCACTCACCTCGTGGGGGTCGTGGCAGCGGTACCCTCACTCACCTCGTGGGGGTCGTGGCAGCGGTACCCTCACTCACCTCGTGGGGGTCGTGGCAGCGGTACCCTCACTCATCTCGTGGGGGTCGTGGCAGCGGTACCCTCACTCACCTCGTGGGGGTCGTGGCAGCGGTACCCTCACTCACCTCGTGGGGGTCGTGGCAGCGGTACCCTCACTCACCTCGTGGGGGTCGTGGCAGCGGTACCCTCACTCACCTCGTGGGGGTCGTGGCAGCGGTACCCTCACTCACCTCGTGGGGGTCGTGGCAGCGGTACCCTCACTCACCTCGTGGGGGTCGTGGCAGCGGTACCCTCACTCAACTTGTGGGGGTCGTGGCAGCGGTACCCTCACTCACCTCGTGGGGGTCGTGGCAGCGGTACCCTCACTCACCTCGTGGGGGTCGTGGCAGCGGTACTCTCACTCACCTCGTGGGGGTCGTGGCAGCGGCACCCTCACTCACCTCGTGGGGGTCGTGGTGGCGGCGGTACCGTCACTCACCTCGTGGGGGTCGTGGTAGCGGTACCCTCACTCACCTCGTGGGGGTCGTGGCAGCGGTACCCTCACTCACCTCGTGGGGGTCGTGGCAGCGGTTCCCTCACTCACCTCGTGGGGGTCGTGGCAGCGGTACCCTCACTCACCTCGTGGGGGTCGTGGCAGCGGTACCCTCACTCACCTCGTGGGGGTCGTGGCAGCGGTACCCTCACTCACCTCGTGGGGGTCGTGGCAGCGGTACCCTCACTCACCTTGTGGGGGTCGTGGCAGCGGTACCCTCACTCACCTCGTGGGGGTCGTGGCAGCGGTACCCTCACTCACCTCGTGGGGGTCGTGGCAGCGGTACCCTCACTCACCTCGTGGGGGTCGTGGCGGCGGCGGTACACTCACTCACCTTGTGGGGGTCGTGGCAGCGGTACCCTCACTCACCTCGTGGGGGTCGTGGCAGCGGTACCCTCACTCACCTCGTGGGGGTCGTGGCAGCGGTACCCTCACTCACCTCGTGGGGGTCGTGGCAGTGGTACCCTCACTCACCTCGTGGGGGTCGTGGCAGCGGTACCCTCACTCACCTCGTGGGGGTCGTGGCAGCGGTACCCTCACTCACCTCGTGGGGGTCGTGGCAGCGGTACCCTCACTCACCTCGTGGGGGCCGTGGCGGCGACGGTACCCTCACTCACCTCGTGGGGGTCGTGGCAGCGGTACCCTCACTCACGTCGTGGGGGTCGTGGCAGCGGTACCCTCACTCACCTCGTGGGGGTCGTGGCAGCGGCACCCTCACTCACGTCGTGGGGGTCGTGGCAGCGGTACCCTCACTCACCTCGTGGGGGTCATGGCAGCGGCACCCTCACTCACCTCGTGGGGGTCGTGGCAGCGGTAGCCTCACTCACCTTGTTGAAGGAAATGGAGTAGGTGGTTTAAGAAGGTGGCATGTTCGGTTCAATACGCATGATAGTCATGTGTGAAAGCAATATGAACCCGTGAATTGCATGCAAAACGCGATTTGAGTCCATGCTTCCCTGTTTCAGTACCCATAAGATGACAATGACTGGCAGTCATGACTAACCCCACGCCTTGCTAAAGCAATTTGAACCCATGCAATGAATGAAAAATAACATGGCACGTCTTACTGCAGCATTGTAGTCCCCAACTGCATGCAGCGAGGAAGCTTCTTGGTAGTTGAACTCAATGTCCATCAGCCTGAGCTTCAGCGCCGTGTGGGCGTACTTGATGGCGTCTCTAGTAAGGGGCGAAGGAAGAGAGGACACAGACACACAGACGTGTTAGAGTCAACTCACAGCACACCTTCCATGTGGCACATGAGGGATGAGGGGAGAGAGGATGTGCACAGGCAGACTATGAAGCGAGGAAAGGGTGTGATACGAAGCTGAGTTGGAAACAAGGGAAAAACGAAAGTACTGGGGAAGTGGGCCAGAAAGATATTGGGAGGGGAAGCAGAAGTTGTGGCGGGAAGGAAGAGGGGGAAGAGGAGAACAAAGAGAGATAGTCAAGCAGACCCTCCCTTGTGATTCCCCGTCCCACCCTTGTGATTCCCCGTCCCACCCTTGTGATTCCCCGTCCCACCCTTGTGATTCCCCGTCCCACCCTCCCCCTCCCCCCCCCCCCTTCCCCCCTCCCTTTCTTGAGCTGGCTCAGCCCTCCCGAGGTCCATCTTGTGTAACCAGTCTCACCTGTGGTCCCCAATGCTCTGCAACTGAAGGCCCACCCGTAGATATGCCTCTGGTGACCTGCACTCACCGCAATCATGCGCCAATGCACCAATGCACCCATACAAGTTGCATAAATGTGAAAATTCATGCATGCACACGTGCGGACATGCACACATGCCAACATGCAAACACGCACACACACACGCATCCTCAGACAGGCACACATGCATGCAAACATCAAACATGCATGCTCAAATACAACAAGACGAAAACACATGCACAGGAACACAGTCACGCGGGCAGACGTACACAAACAGCTTAAGAGTAGACACAAACAGCATATGCTCTCAGCACCCTCTACCCACACACATCCCCCCCCTTTCCCCTTTCTTCCTCACCACCCACCCCCCTGTGCACAGTGCCTGCCAACAATCTCACTGCCTCTGGCACTATGCCGTCACCCACCAGGTCACCCCCTTTTTAACTCACTCTTCCAGCGCTAGTGCTTTGTGCAGTGCATCCACTGCAAGGCCCGCCTGGCCCAACTCCTTGTCACTCCACAGCAGCGCCACTCGTGGTTGCCGCCTCACTGCCTCCTCCATCACTTCATTCAAGCGCGTCTCTCCACTGCCCTGCTCCCCCGTAACTCAGGGCCTGATGTAAGGGGAGTAAGGAATGTGTTTCAAGAATGGACGTGTGGGACTCAGCACAGCACGGATATGCATGGCTTCTCTGCTGAGATGGTCTTGACTAGATGCAGCAAGATCACGGATTGCCTCCTCTGAGGCGGCCACACTTACCACAGCACGGATGAGCATGGGGTCCTTGTGTTGGCGCTTGAGTGAAGCAGTGAGGTCGCTGATTGCCGTCGAGAAGTCACCCGCCTGGGCACTCCTGAAGGCACACGGCAGGGAGCGAACAAAAGGACAATTTTTTTGTTAGGCTGACTGCCGTGTCTGCTGACTTGATTACTGAACTCTGAATCTCCTGCATGGCACGCGGTGTGAGCCCGGGGTCCTCGTCCGTGCCATGGATGGTGTGCCTGTCTTGCCGCTGCCCGTCTGCCCGTACGCGAATATGCACACGTTGAACCCGTCAATGGCCAACTGAATCAGGTACTGCAGGCAGGGCCGGGGGTGGCAGGTGGGGGGGGAAGTAGGGGGCACGGGCCCAAAGGGTCAGGCTGTGGGGCACTGGATGACTACACTGCATCAAGGAGGCCAAGGTGGTGATGCCTGCCATAAATGGTGAGCGCAGGGGACAACACACATAAGACGGGCGTGCCTTGGTGCAGTGTTGCCACTTGAATCATCCCTGAGTACTAAACAGAGCAACTTGGTTACCCGTATGTCTTCAAACACGGTCGTTTGACTGGCGTTGTGGTCGAACACCCGGTCAAACTGAAAATGCTTGGGCTCTCCACCGTCCTTGGAGGGGAGCTGCAGCGTGAACTCGTCCGTCATCCCCAACACCATGCGCTGCCGCTCGTCCCGCTCCTTGCCACTCAGCAGCCGCCACCGCGCCATCACCCAAATCTTGCCCTTCGATTCTTCATATGCGCAGCGGGAGGGACAGAGAGATGGTTGGGGACGGGGAGGGGGACGGGGAACGTTCTCAGGGCACCATACAGCTACAAAAGGCCGCTTCCAGCGGCTCAATGGCTGCCACCACGCACACACTTTGATCTAGCCTTTCATGTCTGCATGTGCACAAAGGGAAGAGAGTGGGGGCAGAGAAAGGGGGACGAAGGGGGCTCAGGGCACCATACAGCTCGGCAGGTCGCTCTCTGCTACTCAGCAGCCACCATCACTTGCAAGTTCTGCCCTTCACGTTTGGGCGCGGGGGAGGGGGGGTTAGAGATGGGGAAGGGGGGTCAGGGACGAGAAGGGGGGGTTATGGGGATGCGGCGGGTGCAAGCGGCCGCCACTGTGGTCCACAATCTCCTCCTCGTATGCCTTGAGATGCACAATCTCCTGTTACACTTGCAAGCACCACCACCCAGTCCATGCTCAAGGCACACCCAACCCAGGGCCAAGATACTGAGAGGCAGCTGAGAGCCCCAGTGCACCACTCACCCTCCAGCTTGTTGCAGGCCTTCTTGCGCTCCACAACCTCCTTGTCGTACGCCTCCTTCAGCTGCTTTACCTCCTCCTCATGCTTCACCAAGCTCCGCTCCAACTCCTGCAACACACGTGCGCGACGAGAAATCAAAACAGAGACCATGCTGTATCATCTCCGCCTGTTGCATCTCCTCCGGATGCTTTCGCCTCTCTCTCCCTCTCACCTCTTACACTACGCACACAGCAATCAGTCGCACACAGCATGCATTTAACCCACACATGACAACACTCACCTCGTTCCTCGTTCTCAGCTCCTCCAGCTCCTTGCAGACACCCTCCCGGTGCTCTGGCTGCGCCTCCTTCCCCTTCCCCTTCACCTCCTTCCTCAGCTGGGCCTCTGTTGCCCGGCTCACCCCCAAGCGCTGCTCCGCGATCGCCAGGCTAGCTGCTAGCCCATCCCTCTCTGCTGATGAACGCAGCTCCAACACCTTCAGCTGCCAGGCAGAACAAAGGCGTGAGACGGGGAGTAGGGAGAAGGAAGACGCACAGAGACGTGCGGGGGAGGAAGGAGTTGGAATCAAGGTTGAGGCAGCGTGAGATTATGGCGCAAGGTTGCAAGTTTCCTAGACGCAAGGCAAAACGAAACGTACTCATAAGCGAAACAGATTCTCTGGTGGCTGGAAGAGTTGGATGAGAGAGCAGGCAGTGCAGATAGGAGTAGCATGACATGGACATGCAACAGGGGGACAGGGAGATGCACGACCGCTCAATGTGCCCCCCTACCTGCTCAATGTGCATGACCCCTCTTCTCAATTCCTCCGACAACTCCTTGGCCCGCTGCTCATACTCCCCCATAGGGTGCGCCCCCTGCCCCTGCCCCTGCTCCTGCCCTTGCCCCTGCCCATGCATTAGTGCGTTTTGCTGCTGCGCTCTCTGCCTAGCACAGAGATTCGCAGTGGCATTATGGACGAGCATATAGATGGTGCGGCAGATCTGGTCGCCCTGCGTGGTCTCAAAATGCAAGACCTGCAACGAGCCCATGAAGAGCAACTCCAGGGACACTGAAGTGGGGCTGCTGCAGAACTGCCTGATGCTACGCAGCTCCCTTGAAAAGCGATATCCTTCTGAGATGGGGCAGAAGAAATGCACCTATGGAGGGAGGGAGTGTGTACGCAAGAGTTGATGGCGCGTGCCGCCGAAATAATGAGGAAGGAATGCCCTCATGGCCTTTATAAAAGGCTCAAGCAAAAGGGTTAGGGCTAAGGGCAGAGGGCTATTCCCTCTCTCTCGCTCTCCTCCGCCAGAAAACTGAACCCACAGGACAATGATCCTACATGTGGAAAGTTATTCTAGCCAACGCAGGAATCATTGACAGTGGGGTGGGTGACTCACCCCGCACTCGTTGATGCCCATGAGCACTCGCTCCGGCAGTGAATTGGGGGTCATGAATGCGCCCCACGTTGAAGAAAACTGACCCGCCGTACGGGAGGGCTCGGAACCACTTCAGCGCCTGCTGCATCGCCTGTTCAGCTGTTAGCTTTGCCTGGAACACATAATCATGTTGGAAGAAATTAGGGAACTGCACCTCCATGTTACAGGCACTTTGAGACAGTAGAGGGGCAAACTAGCAGGTTAAAAGAATGACGACAGGAGAGGGTGCCTTGGAACAGGGTGAAAGCTCACCAACGGCTTGTGGCGTTTGAGCACGTCCTTGGCCCAATCGTGCTTCTCCATTGTGGCCCGGAACTGCAGCGGGATCCTCTACCACACCTGCGCTTGCCAGTCCCTGGGAGAAAGAGAATGACAAGACGGAGGGAGGGAGAGAGGGAGGGAGGGAGGGAGGGAGGGAGGGAGGGAGGGAGGGAGGGAGGGAGGGAGGGAGGGAGGGAGGGAGGGAGGGATGGAGGGAGGGAAGGGGAAAGAGGGAGGGAAGGTGGAATTCAGAGAAATATGAGGGAGATATGAGGGTGTGAGGAGATACCATGGCGCATCTGACTGGCATCTACAATGACACCCCTCCCGGTGAACTCACTCCACTTGATGCGCAGGCAGTGAGCCGAAAGTCCACAACGACCTGGAGCGCTGTGAGATGCGCCGCCAAATCCTCGGGCGTGGGGAAGTTGACCTCCAGATAATCCTGTTGCGCTTGGTGGTAGCACAGTCGGATGAACATGGGGTCTGCTATCGCCTCCTCGTTCTCCAGGAAATATCGCTTGCGGCACACGAGTCGCCTCTGCACGGCCCGCTCGCCTGTCTCCCGGAATCCCATCAGCTCGGCCACCGTGTCCCGTATATAAGCGGAGTCGTGAATGCTGATGTAGTCATCTGCTTAACAGACGGAAAAGCAAATCATCAAAAAACGAGATGAAAGTGCAGGGAGGAAGGGAGGCAACATATAGGCATCATAAGCATGTGATTGGCGCAGGGGACAAATTACCCACGCAACAAAAGCAGCCTCTTCTTTGAGGAAGCTCACATGTAAACTCTACCACGTAGAGCCAGGAACCCAACCCAGCTGCTTGGGAGCTATCCAGCGCACCCCAGCAGTCCACCCACCTGCTTGGGGATGAACCAGCGCGGTCCCAGGTAGTCCTGCAGTAGCAGCGCCGTGACTTGCGTCGCACTAACGCCGTCAGCGCCACTCCCCACGGCCAGCGCATAGCACGAACCAGGTGTGGTGTGCGGGACTCACTGGTAATGATTTCCGAGTTGTTGACGACCGCGGTGGACTTCCGGTGTTCGAAGAAGCCGAACGTCTGGAAATGCTTCAACTGTATGATGCCCGCGACCCTCTGCATCCAATACCACAGAAGCATGGACCGTCACAAAGGGCAGAGCAGAGGTGTAGGCGCCAAAAATACAGGATCTAAAAACTCTCGCGCTGAGTTCGCATGCGTTTACGGACCTCCAAGAGCTCCGCAGCGGTGGTGGACCCATCGTACCCCACCTCCGCGGATGAATTGTCCGATAGAAACACCGTTGTCTTCATTTGACTGCTCTCTGCAATCGGAAGCACGGCATCCATCCGAGTTTGCAGGTTGACGGGAGTCACCGTCCCTGCCCTCGATGAGTGTGTCGATCTGTCCATCATGCAATGGTATGGCGAACTTTTGGAAGGGGATGGCAGGGTAGGCCAGGGGATGGAGGGCAATGTCGAGGGTTGGAAGGATAATGTGTCAAAGGATTTAAGTGGCATGATTGCATGACTGTATATGGGTGGTTCGAGGCGAGGGTTGCTGGCAGGGTGAATGGATGGGGGGGAAAAGTAGGTTATCAGTGGCAGAGACACGCATGGGATGAATAAAACGCACCTAGCTTGGTTGGTTTGGTTTGGAGCGACGGTGCCGGCTGACGGTGGCTAGAGGTAGCACCCTGGCGTTGCGAGGCGAGGCTTCGAGGGGCGACGAGGCGGGGCCCGAGTTCTTGGTGTGTGCGATGGGGATGAAGTTCAGCGGTGAGGTAGGCGAGGTAAGGGCTGCCGGAACAGGATGAGCGGCCGCGAGAGGCAGCGATGTGAGGCTTCCTGAGGTGGCGATTCGAATTCGCGAGAGGTGACGATTTGAATCCGCGAGAGGTGGCGATTTGTATCCGCGAGAGGTGGCGATTTGAGGCAGCGAAAGGTGGCGATTTGAGAGTGGCGAGAGGTGGCGATTTGAGAGTGGCGAGAGGTGGCGATTTGAGGAGGCGAGATGTGGCGAATTGAGGCCGCGAGAGGTTGCGAGCTTGACACAGAATGATATCTCAGGAAACGGAGCTGACGTCGAGAATGAGAGCTGAATGGAAAATAAATCGATGAAATCTCGTTGAAGCTTCTAAATTCGATGAGATTAACGAGTTTATGGTCGCTGAACAAGATCCAGACGATGATCGGGCATTCTAGCGGCCGGTCGTCCAGGAAACGATGTGAATGTTGTCCAGTTGACAAAGTAGAACGTTTCAATCAGAAGCCTAAGCTTGATTTTAAAGAAACTGCTAGTTTTATGCACACGTCACCGTGAAACTAAGCGGGCTCCGTAACTACTGAGGAAGTGCCACGGACGGACAGACCGAGTTAGCTAAGAGAAACGCCGTGAAGGAAGCCAAGGAAAATCGAGCTGGGGAACTATACATGAGCTTGGATGTGATGTGTGAAGGATTGCAGAACGGTTTCCAACATTGCCTGGCTGGAGGCAAGTGAAGTGAAGCAGCGAAGCGGGGAGGGGAGGTGAGGAGAGGCAACAAAGGATTCGGCAAGCCCAAGAGGGCACGCCGCCTGGCCATGTGCTAACAGGCGGTTGACAGTCTGCCAAGGTTTTCCGCCAAAAAGGGGGCAAACTGCGGAAGGTGATGGAGTCAGCGGCGCGACCGAAAGAATCAACGAGGAGTTGAAACTCTTCACGAAAACAGAAAAGCATTGTGCGACCAAAATGAGTTTTTTCTGCGAAGGGTAACCGTGCTGTTTCCGCTAGTGACTGACAAGTTTCGGACTTTCGGAGCCCGGGGCTGCGCACCTTCGAGATTGAGGGGGAGCCAATCCCCGCGACCCATTCTGCACCTTCGCAACGCACTTCTTCAGTTTGCGCGGGAGCTCCGCGGAAGTGTACTCGTTTGCGCTAAACCGATACCATGGAGATAATACCATAAGAAGGAATTCTAATGTAAGTATGTACAAATGCTGACAAAAAATGAAACAAGACTCGTTGGAAGGATTGCGTAGTCAGTTTCATTCATAGTTCTAAATGTTTTGTGAGAGATTGAGGTGCAGTCCATAAACCCAACTTCTTCTTATTGATTAAAACATGAAAATGTTCGTATCGTGATCAAATTCGCATATTTTGCTTGTTTCGTTTGGATGTTAGATAACATTTAATAGTCTATGCTCACTTTCTATTTCTTGTTTTATAGATGTATTGTCTATAGTCAACTTAATCGTTTCTAGTTTAAAGCTTCTGCTTTAATGGGGGCTCCTACTCTTATGATAGACGTGTGTACGTCCGTTTCACGTGACACTAGTAGTGTACAGTACTGCTCCCTTGTTTGCAACTTCCCCAAACCCCAATAATCACCTCCCACTCTCACCCACCCCGCCTCGGTTGGACAAAAACAGTTGGACAAAAAACGTTGGACAAAAAGCGTTGGACAAAACAGTTGGACAGAAACGTTGGACAAAAAAAGTTGGACAAAACAGTTGGACAAAAACGTTGGACAAAAACGTTGGACAAAACAATTGGACAAAACAGTTGGACAAAAACGTTGGACAAAACAGTTGGACAAAAAGCGTTGGACAAAAAGCGTTGGACAAAAAGCGTTGGACAAAAAGCGTTGGACAAAAAGCGTTGGACAAAACAGTTGGACAGAAACGTTGGACAAAAATAGTTGGACAAAAGCGTTGCGGAGATAACTACTTCAACGGGAGCTACACTACGGGCTAGGCACGGGTGCTCGTGTGATCTCTGCGTTCGTTCGTTCCTTAGTCGTTTGCTTGTGCTCGCACTACTTGCTGGTTCACAGGGGAATTTGGCAAGAGTTTCACTAGCAAAAGTTCACAACAATGATACAATGAAGTTGGCATCACAAGACTACATAAGAGCAAACATCAAAGTCGGCCAACTGCCAGCGCAGCTTGGTCGACCGCGTTCCAGCACGACTAGGTCGACCGCGCTCCAGCAAGACAAGGTTGACCGCGTGCCAACGTCGCAGGTTGACGGCGTACCAGCATTGCTCACGCAGAACAGCAGCGCACTCGCTTCGCAGGTGCGCGCAGGTAATTGGCGTGCAGAATCCCGTCATCTGCACAGCGCACACACCACGTCAACCTTGAGCTGACGTCTGCCTCTGATCCGCCACGACGACCTCGGGATACCACCACCGAGGTCGGGCTCGCCAACTCCGCCTGGGCGACCGTCGTACTCCTCCGCAGCACTTCGTCACCCAGGTAACCTGGTCGACCGGGCAACCACGTCGACCAGCCACTCCCGTGCGTGCCCGTCGACCCCCCAAGTCGACGACCACCTCCATGTCGACCTCACCAGGTCGACCACGCCCCTGGTCGACCAGCTCCAGGTCGACGTCACTCCTGGTCGACAGGCTTCACGTCGACCAGTGCAGTTGTCGGCCGACCACCCAAGTCGGCCTTCCGAGGTCGGCGTCACGAAGTTGACGCCCCGCTACTCGACGCCCAACTGCTCGGCGTCCTGAGTCAAGGTCGACGTCGGCCCCTCCTGTCAGAGGTCCACTGGTGATCCCCGATCGATCCTAGGGAAGGGTTACAGGCACGTTTGCCTGGGGGGTTATGGGCGCACTGACCCGCTACTGAAACAAGCCCTTTTATCCCAATGGTCTAGTGGTTGGGATTCTGAGATGGTATCCAGAGCGAAGGTCTCGGGTTCGAATCCCGGTGTATGCACTTCGGGCATCCCAGTGCGGGGGGGTGTCAGAGGTCCACTGGTGATCCCCGATCGATCCTAGGGAAGGGTTACAGGCACGTTTGCCTGGGGGGTTATGGGCGCACTGACCCGCTACTGAAACAAGCCCTTTTATCCCAATGGTCTAGTGGTTGGGATTCTGAGACCTCCTTCGTCGACCACATCCTCCACAGGTCGACTCCCAAGTCGACCTCCTGAAGTCGGCGCCATCCTGAAGTCGGCGCCCGTGCAGTGACCCCAGTGCAGGTCGACCTCCTCGTCGACCAGCTCGTCCACTACTGCAGGTCGGCTGCTCCCCTCACAACCGACCACGAAGTCGGCTCCGCCCAAGCGAGGACGGGGCCAACACCCAACTCCCGTTGACACTCCCCTGCCGCGTTCACGCTTTGGCCCCCAGCCCACACGGCAGAACTCCTCGGAGACTCGCTCGTCGACGTGCACCCAACACACAGCACGTCGTCCACCGCACCAGCCATGCAAGAGGGCATGGCACCTACTGCTGCACGTCGTCGTCACCGTCGTCCACGTCGGCCAAGCGCACCTGGCCAATTGCGACGGAGCACCGGTTGAAGGCCGGATAGTGCAGCGCCTTCGTCAGGAAGTCGGCCGGCTGCTCAGCGGTCGGGATGTACTACAACGAGAACTTCCCGCGCTTCACCATGTGCTGCAGCCAGGCCTGTCGCCGCTCCATGTGCTTGAGGTTGCCCGTCAACCCCATGCCCTCGGCGACCGTGATGGCCGACTTGTTGTCCACTCGGAGGACAGTCGGCTTCCCAGCATCCAGCTGGTGGAACTCTGCGAGGAAGAAGCAAAGTCGACGTCCCTCCTTCCCGGCTTCCGTGGCCGCCACGTACTCCGACTCGGTCGACGACAGCGTCGCGCACTTGATGCGCTGGCTTGACCAGGAGACCGCGGCGCCTCCGTAGATGAACACGTAGCCTCCCGTGCTCGTCGTGTTCTGCTTGTCACCGGCGTCGTCGGCATCCACGTAGCCGACCAGCTCCAGCGACTCAGGTCCACCGCCGAACTCCAGGGCGGTGTCACGCGTGTTGGCGAGGTAGGCGAGGCAGCGGTCGACCTCTCGCCAGTGCTGGTCGCTCCTCACCGTGAGGCCGCTCCCCAGCTTGCTGCAGGCGAAGGCGACGTCCGGCCTCGTCGTCGTCGCTGCGAACTGCAGCGAGCCGACCTTCTGCCGGTACTCCTCCTCCTGTCGCTCCTGCGCCTCCTCGTCGTCGAAGGTGAGCTCGGCGTAGGCGCCCACCGAGACCGGCGTCTTCGGCGTCCGCCCGGTCTGCTCTTCGTCGATGAAGCACCTACGCAGCTTGTCGGCGTAGCCCTGCTGGTGCAGCCATAGCTTCCCCGCCGACCTGTCGCGGACGATCTCCAGCCCGAGGTACTTCTCCACCGGCGAGATCTCGCGCAGCTCGAAGGCGGACTCCAGCAGCGCCTTCAGCTCCTTCATCATCTCGGTGCTGCTGCTGGCGGCGAGCAGGTCGTCGACGTAGACCAGCACCCAGCAGGCCACTCCACCATCGCCGACCTTGAAGTAGAGAGCTTCGTCGACCTGGCTCTTCTTCCATCCGGCGCCGACCAGCACGTCGTTGAGCGCCAAGTACCACAGCAGCGGCGACTGCTTCAGCCCGTACAGGCTCTTCAGCAGCTTGCAGACCCGGCCGGTTCCGTC